CATAGCCAATTGGCATTTTCAACGAAAATGCATCTATTCCAACTGACTTCTGTTTCAAATAGTTAAGAGACATAATGACGATTTTACAAGTAGGTTTGGATGCACGAGCAATTACAATCGAATTTAATAAGTTCGGTAGAAAAAAAAATCCAGCTCCTAGGTTTGTCAAGCAATGGATAAACGAGGAATAGGCTTACACCTTCATCTCTCATGCTAGCACATTAATGTGGAACAGTTGGATTTCTCTCTAGAAACGAAGATGGGGAGCGAGAATGATGGGAAAGTACTGATGCTGGACAATTTCAAAGATCGTATTTGCAGTAGGCTGATGAAGAGAGGGTTATTATAAATTCAAACTTTGTATTTGACTTTTGGGTAAATTCCACTAAACTTTCAATAAATTTGAGTACTTTTCAACTAACCCCAAAAAAGTTTGAAAATGTCACTTATGCCAAAAGCCCATACCTAACACGCTAAGCCAAAATCTTATGTGAAGACAAGATAACTAAAATACTCCAGAAATCTTTCAATTTTAAGTTAAGGCAATGATGTTTTTGCATATACACCCGCAACGTTCCAAAGTTTGAATGTATACCCCTCCTGCTTCTCTCCGCTACCAGCGACCCTGTCCTCCTTCCCTCCCTTCTCCCTCCCCCTCTTTTCCCATCTATTCCTCCTCCTTTGACCTGCCTTCTCCACCACCGGCGAGCACCAACTCACCCATTGTTGCCGGCACTACCGGCGAGCACCAACGTCCCCACCACTTCCTCCATTGCAGATGCGCACCGTCACCCTCTCTTCTTCTCTCTAATTGAAGTTAAGTTAGGATTAAATTAATCAAATTTAATTTGAGCTATTAATTTAATAATTAGGATGTTAATTTTTTTTTAAAAAGGCCTTTTTATCATTTCACCTACCACTGTTCTGGGGACTAGATGGACAAATTCAAACGTTATTGGGGTTTTATGGTCTTCAGGGGTTAAGTTGCATTTTAAAAGTTTTTTGATGTTAAAATGAAAAACTCCCAAACTTATTAAGAGTTTAGTGAAATTTACCCTTGAGTTTTATTAGGATCTTAGATATGATTTTATCGATCTATTAGCTAGATTTAAATTTTAAATTAGTTCTTTGAAATTTAATTTCAATAGAATGGAGTTATTTAGATTATGACTTGTAGTAGGATTACCATTTGAATTGAATTTTAGTTTTTGAATTTTGAAGTTTAGTAGGGATAGAATTTCAAATCCTATATAAAGAGTTGTGAATGTTGTAATCAGTGAATAGAGTATGGTGTTTTTGGATGAATAAAGAAGATTAGAGTTTAAAGAAAAAATTGTAAAGTGATTCCTCGTAGGGGTGAAGCCCTTTTAACACATTAAGTATTAAGAATAAATCTAACCTTTTAATTTTTATTTTAGAGTTTATTTTCATCGTATTAAATCTTGTCCATCCATTTCAATTCAAATAAACCCTCAAAAGTTAAGCTCAACCTTCCAATACTCGATTAAGATTCATTTTGTTATATCCTCAATTTAACATCACTCCAATCTCATCATTGTTAGGATCGTGTCTTTGATTCTTTGTATAACTTCATAAGAATTAGATAGAATTAGAGATCTATCATGATTAGGAGATTGAGTCTCATCAGGATTAGGAGTTTAAAACTTATTCTAATTAGAAAGTTAAGCTAGAGATAGAGTTTTGGTTTCTCTATATATATTCTTGGGAAAAATGTGTCAAGGCCCCAAAATGAAGACCCTGAAGTGGCCCAGTCCCACTAATTAATACCGTTAGGCTTAAAAAAGTGTGAAAAGTGTGGCCTAACCCTAAAAGTCTACCTTTATACATATACGGAGTGTATTTTGACATAACTACCGTAAATGCCCTCTTCTCTGCTTGAAACTCTGAAGTCTGAGCGCTCCTTGCCTTCTACTCGCTTCTTCGTCGTCGCGCTCTCTCTCTCTCTCTCGATCCCAAATCAAATCGAAAATATGGTACCTTTCTTATTCTCTTTTCCTCTTTTTCATCAAATTAGGGTTTCTTTCATCGACCACAAACCTCCATCATCTTCTCAAAGTTCTAAATTGTTCATACTATAGTTGTTCTTCTCGTACTTCAAGGAGTTTGTGGGCAAGGAAGTGACGGTGGAGCTCAAGAACAATCTAGCAATCAGAGGGATACTTCACTCCGGCGATCAGTACCTCAACATCAAGCTCGAAAACATGAGGCTCGTCGATCAGGACAAGTATCCTCACATGGTTTGTTCACTTTTTCTCCTCCCCTTAATTTTATTTTCTAGGGTTTTGTTCTTTGCCTGTTAATTTGAGGGTTTTTTTTGTCTGGATGGAAGAGGATGAGTTAGTGTAATACTCTAATCAGAAACGGGGAATTTTCAATGGGTACATTGGTACTGAATTGGGGGTTTAGGTTTTTGGATTATTAGGGTTTATGAAGATTTATTTGCTTGTTTTAGGGAGTTTTATGGAGTAGTATTGTTTGAATTCACTCAGTTTCAACGGGGTCAGACAGTAGATAAGTTATTTTTATCAGCTTGGATTGAGGAGCGCGAGACTTGGTTGTAGCTCTTGGTATTGGATTTATACCAGGTTATGTTCACCTTTTTTCTTGATAACGTTTCATTTGTCATAAAACATAGGGATTGTATTTTAGTATGATGTTATGAATATTGTAAAAGCATTTGTAAAAGGCAAGTTTGTATTTTTTTTTAATTCATTGAGATATCATGGGCTAGTGGCAGCTTAGTAGCTTACACATAAATGGTCAAACAATGCATTCATAATATTGTAGATAGGACAGTTGAGTTTAACAATATAAATTAGTGAAGTGATTTTAACAATATTACCTTACATTGTAAGATTATTTATACTATAAAAGCCTTTGTAACATTATGGGATCGTGGTAGCTTAGCTCAAGTGTAAGCGGTCAAAAAATACCCTCATAACAATTTATACAACACAGTAGAGTTTAACAATATAAATCAACAAGGAAAAGTTCAATCATCACTATAAAATATAAATACAATGAATCTTGAAAAGTGCTTAATACCAGATTTTGAGAGATTTTGAGTTTGACCTAAACAACAACTTCTCCTTGTAGGGTTTTGCTTGTGGCTTTTAGGGAAACTTAGTTATGTAATAGTTGTTTTTACTGGAATGTTAGTATTTCACAAATGTAATCTTTTTTTATTTTATACAGCATCGTATATCTAACTAGCTTGCTACTTTATATCATGCAGTTTTGATTGTGGAATTTTCGTTCAGTTATATATGAAGGCTATAATACATGGGGTTGATACAAATCAAGTAACTATTCCCGGTGCTGAGTCTAATGTCATCCATGCCAGGCTAGCAGCTAAACTTCTAATAGAAGGATGGCAACAGAAAAATCAAGCGGAGACATTTGATAAGGATGGATGAAAGTTGTTCTAAAAATTGATTGGCTGAACCAAAACTTGTGTACATGTCTGTATTGTGTATATTAGTTTAGTTGTTTAAAAGTTGATGTGGATGACAAACAATGCAACAAGCTTGACATTTATTGTTCTTATTGTATTTTCTGGTATTTTTGCCATCATATGTTTACGTTTTATTTTGATACAACATATATTTAACATGTTCAAATAAAAAACTACATGTTTACTTGAATGTGAATAGGAAAAGTCAATACTTAACATGTACATTTGACAAGTTAACATATTCAGTTGCTTGTTATCATGTTATAAAGAAGGCTGACATGTAATAGTGAAAGTTAACATGTTATGCTGAAAGTTAACATGTTCATAAGAAAGTTAACATATGCAAATGAAAGTTAACATATACAGCTGATAGTTAACATGCTCATATGAACGTTAGCATATAAACCTGAACGGTAATATAAACACCTGAAAGTTAACATATACATATGAGAGTTAATATGCTCACATAAAAGTTAACATGTTCAGGTTAAAGCCAACATTTTTAGCTTAAATTTAATTTATTCAGCTGAAAGTTAACATTTTCACTTGAAAGTCTAAAGAATTTGAAAGTCAACGTGTATAGTTGAAAGCCAACATGTTCATCTCAAAGTTAACGTAGTCAAATGAAAGTTAACATGTTTAGCTGAAAGTAGTTTTAGCACCAAGATATTTTATAGAAAATATAAATAGTATACCTCTACTAAACAAGTACATTACACAAAACTTCTTATATTTTTGCAGCTAATATGATTAGACTTAAAATCTTAGAGATTACAAAAACCTTCTACAATGTTAGACAAAAGTCTTGACAACCTACATTGCTCTACCAAAAGTATTATACTAATAAGCAATCCACACCAAACATGTCGAGTTTTAGTTCAAAAAAACTTGTTATAAAGAAAATTAACATATTATTATGAAAGTTAATATGTAACAGTGAAAGTTAACATATTATGATGAAAGTTAACATGTTCAGCTGAAAGTTAACATGTTACGAGGAGAGTTAACATATAATGATGAAAGTTAACATGTAACAGTTAAAGGTAACATATTAGGATGAAAGTTATAACATCTTCAGATTAAAGTAGTACAAACGAACACCATTGTTGGCTGATTCTTAAAAAATAAACAGAAGCTCCATTAAAAGCCCATCTTTTTTCACTGTGTTCCAACCCATAATGAGTAGTACAAACAAACACCCAAAATACCTCTAACACACAAATCAACAATCAAATTAGAAAATAAGAACTTATTGTTCACCTCCTGAGATATGAACCAATATATCTCGAACTGCATGTCTCAACATGTTAACACTGTTACTCAATCTGCTATACCTTGAACCCTCATTTCTATCACAACATTTCTATTACAACAGTCAGAAACAATATCGAACACCATTCAATTCAATCCATCATCATCATCTACGGTAATCATGACACTTTTGACATGAAAATCACCAAAACCAACTATATATATGTTGTATCAAAACAAAACGTAAACATATGGTGGCAAAAATACCAAAAAATACAATAAGAACAATAAAGGTCAAGCTTGTTGCATTATTTGTCATCCATAATAATTGTTTACACAACTAAACTAATATACACAATACAAGTGGCACACAAGTTTTGGTTCAACCAATCAATTTTTAGAACAACTTTCTCCCATATCTTCTTGCTTCATTTCTAAGTCACCAAAAGAAATCTCCTCCAGATCTTTCACCTCTAGTTGTGTATGTGGGTCGGCATGAAATTTCCTCATGTTTGAGTTTCTTACTTCCATGTATATTTCAGGAGTTCTACTCTAAGACTTCCTATTGAAAAATGAAGCTGATGTGTGCTTTTCTATTGGATGGATTTCTTTCCAAGAAAACCAGCCTGCATAAGGAAACAAGGGGAAAACAATAATTTATTGTGAAGCTTCAAGTGATCAAAGTAAGCATATAACTAGCAATCATAACAATCCTATTCAACCAAATATATAGTCGGTGGAACTAACTATATCCTCCCAAATGCCCAAAATTATCCCAATTTCAAAAGAAATGAAGGATCTAAATATGAACCATCAACATTGTCCTCCCTAAAACCTAGCAATCAAGCGCATCACCAACTTCTCAAAAACAGAAGAAGATGTTGGCTTTAACCTGAACATGTTAACTTTCACGTGAGCATGTTAACTCTCATCTGTATATATTAACTTTTAGGTGTATATGTTAACGTTCAGATATATATGCTAACGTTCACGTGATCATGTTAACTATCAACTGTATATGTAACTTTCATCTGCATATGTTAACTTTCTTATGAACATGTTAACTTTCAGCATAATATATTAACTTTCACTATTACATGTCAGTCTTCTTTATAACATGATAACATGCAACTGAATATGTTAACTTGTTAAATGTACATGTTAAGTATTGGCTTTTCATGTTGACATCAGACTCAGCATCGGGAGTAGTTACTTGATTCGTATCAACCCTATGGATTATAGCCTTCAAATGTCTCTAACCACATGCTTGTTCTATCTATTAAAGCTTTCATGACCTGTAAATTTACCATGCAAAAGATAAAAAATAATTGCATAACAACACAACATACAAAAAATCCAGATATGCATATATTTAACATATTAAACTTGCATGGTCATCGGTACGACCTCCACGTAGCAGATAAAGAAGCTCCAAAGAATCGATACTACTGTTCAACGTATTAACAATAATACATGACCTGAAATATAATAGTAAGATACAAACATTAACAGTTGCTGATAAACATACAGATGTAACAGTGAAATGCAACATGTACAAGCAAACGTTAACATAAATGTCCATAAGTTAACATATAAAGGAAAATATTAACATTTATACACAAACATTAACATGAGTGGATAAAAGATCACAGATAATATGCGACCAAACATGAATGAGAGTTACTAGACTTACTCATGAAATTTCTGATTGTAAAAATTCCTGAGCTTTTTGGACCGAAGTTCTGTGCAAGAGTTCTTCTAGAATCCCCAAAACACCCCAAAATAATGATAACCATAATTCCACGTCATTCTAAATGTGGAACCAATCATTTGGTGGCCAAACAATTTCTGCTGTGTTTGATACATGAACTTGCAAAGCCACACAAACACCTCTTGGCTGACTCTCAGGTAGAAGAGGTGCAAACAAAATGTATCAACTGTATTACAGATTGACACCATAGACAAACACATGATTCATAAAACTCTACACCCTAATGAATGAAATGCATCTGGCAAGTGGACACGTATGATTGTGATGAAATATGATATTTTTTCATATTTATGAAGATCTATTTCCTATTCAGAGGTCAATGAGGAATCATATTTACAAATTAACATGTTCATCGTATCTCTAAAACCACCAGAAGCAAGCAGACCAATGGCTTTGAGATCCTGTGGAAGATGGAGATTTAAACTGTTCATTTGCACACCAATTTAGTAAAATTAAGTTAACATATTATGGTACCTGTATATAACAAAAGTCAAGATCAATAATATGTTCTCTTTTGTGAACCTCATTAATGACCATTATCTCCACTAGCATTCATGAAATGACTTTGAGATCAAACCTGAACTCATCTCTCTCTCTCTCTCTCTCTCTCTCTCTCTCTCTCTCTCTCTCTCTCTCTCTCTCTCAATAACAGAGGGGTATAACTTAAAAGTGTCAGCAATTAATCATAACATTCAATCAGTATAAACTCATACTGGAAAGACACATCCTCTTTTATCACTTACGACAATCTATCTACCCTTTAAAAGAGGGAGTTCCAAAAAAACTTTCTCTACCCCAAATTACCCTTCTACTGTTGTAAATATAACAAAATTGACCTCATCTTTTATTTCATTAACTTTTCATTAACTTTACATTCGTTCCTTTCCTTCTCCTTCCATCGGTTACTCCCGTACCCTCCCATACTCTCTCCCATACCCTCATGACCCTAATCCTAAACCCCTCTCCGCCCTCCTCTCCGCCATCAAGTCCGAGCCCGACCGCATCGCTGACCTCCTCGAGTCCTCCTCCCACCTCCCCCGCTTCTACTCCGACCGCCCCCTCCACACCCTCGCCCTCCCCCGCCTCTCCCGCCTCCGCCGCCTCGACTTCATCCGGTGCGCCCTCCTGTCCCAGATCTCCGACCCCACGTCCCTCAAATCAGAGGGCTTCTTCCGGATCCTCTTCCACTACGCCTCCTCCGGCCTCCTCGACGACGCCGTCCGCCTCTTCCACCAGATCCCCAACCCCACCCAGCTCTCCTTCTGTGCCCTCCTCACCGCCCTCCTCAACGACAGAGGTGAGTGCTGATTGCTTGTTTTCTTTTTAAATTAGGGTTTCAGTGTTTGATTTGGGTTTGTTGATTTCTAGGGTTTGTTGGATCAGCAGTTTAATCAGCTACTAATGCTGGAAGAGGACGGTGGTGAATTCCTTGTTGAGGTGATTAAGCTGTTTTTTGATGATTCTAAGAGGATGATCTCAGAGCTGAGCAGCTTGATGTAAGTTTGTGGGTAATTTTGGTGTGAAGTTGTTGATTTTGGTTAATTTTTTTGGATTTTATGTTTGAGAATTTATGTGTGCAGAGATCAGCCAGTTGTGGACTTCCAGAACGTGGGTTCTTTCGTTCATCAGCTGAAAGGGAGCAGCTCAAGGTTTTATCTGTTTTCTTGTTAAATTGTTTACTTTGTGTTGCTGATGATTAATTGAGTTTGTACGATAGACTGGTACCTACTTTTGATGGTTTCTTAATGCTCAATTATGGATATATCTTTATGTATAGCCACATATACAGGTGTATGAGGGGATGTTTGCCTCTAAGATTTGTATTTTGGATTTATGGCAATGTTGGATTTCAAAGAATTATTGCCTATCCTACATTTTAGATTTATGTTTGGTTTGTAGGGTAGTGGAATGAAAGTTAGCTTTGAAAAGAGAATCAAAGAATTCTTGTGTATTTGTAAAGAAATAGATAAAAGCAGAAAGGGATTTTTGGGCCTGCTTATTATGTATGTTGTATTTAAAATGGAATATATTAGTATTTTTACTTTTTTATTTTTTCGAATATTTAAGAGTTACATTTTTTTCTTCACATTTTCTGAATTTTAGTAATTTGTTTTGTATTATTAGGATGTAGCGGGACCACATTTAACAAATCCTTCCCAAATCCTCTCATTTTCTCAGGATTTCTAACAACACGATCTCCAACGAGGCGATGGTGATTTGCCGCCAATCGTATTTTTTACTTATCTATACTGCACAAAAAATATTGTCGATGAGTCGTTCGCAAGAAAAATGATGACCAAGCAGAGCTTCCTGAACCTGTTGAGAGGAAACAATAGCTTTCTATAGAGAAGGTATTTAATATATTAATCTGTGTGTTTTAGTTATGCTCATAAGCTTTTCTTTTGTCTTGTCTTGACAGTTTCATGTTTAATCTGTGTGTTTTAGTTATGCTCATAAGCTTTTCTTTTGTCTTGTCTTGACAGTTTCATGTTATTTTGGGTTTCAGATTTTTGTTTGATCAATGAAAACTGGCCGTCTATTAGATATTCTTAGCGGTCATGGAGGACCAGCTCATGGTTTGATGTTTTCGCCTACAAGTGTAAGTCAACTCCCTTTCTTTCTTTTTGTTGTTTAGAAATATAAAATTGCATGTTAAATCTCATTTCATATTGTACTCATCTTATTTAGCTAATTTTATTTATCTTTTGCTTAGATATATAATTCATAGTTTGGTATTTTTTATGCATATTATACAAACCTACTGTTTCCTTATATCACATATGTATATATGTATGTGTGTTGGTCATGTATGTATGTTTATACATTACCTCTTTTAGCAAAATACTGAAGTGGTGCAATAAACCTACTCCAGTTGAATAAATTTAATGTTTTCATAGTTCGTTTTCACTCTATTGAATAAATTTAATGTTTTGTAAAAGTTTATTTTTCTTTACTGGATGTTTATTTTTTTATTACTTTAGGAAAAAAGCCCCATGATAAATTTAATAAATATGCAGGTTTCAAACCGAAAGATGATCGTTCGGATTGTATGAAATTACGACTTCTTCCATACCAACTGAGATTTAAAGGTATAAATCCAATTTTATGAGTGTATATGAAACTTGCTAAACATCCTTGATAAGGTGTCACATACAACAGCTTATATTATACTTAACCCCATTATTACTATATCTCGACTTATATAAATAAATACAACAAAAAAACATCAGCCATTCGACAGCTTTCCCATTTGAACAACCACCATCCAGCAAATTTCCAAGCATTCAACCTTCCTGCTGTTGGAGAGTACACAGATCATTCAATGCTAAACCGTAGGTGGCAGCATGTTCGAGGTGTATAACAAATGCCGAATCCTGATATAATACACAATAGAACTTCTTAGTACAGCAAAATGTCTAGCTGAGTAGTAATAATAAATGAAAGGTTAGCATGTGCTGATAACTCATCATGAGCTTGCTTTATTTGTAAAAATTCTACATAAAAAATTACATATTTATATCTGCATTGGTTCTGTACTAGCATTATTTATTCTTTTCCTCTTTTCCTCCCCGCTGTAGCACATTGTCTTCTTCCAAGCTGCTGCACGTTAGCTTGAATGCCTTTAACCTGGATCCAAGATTACTTCTTGATTTTTTAGTTAATAGATAATGACAACTATCCACATGTTAGTGTTTTACTTATGTGTCAACGCTCTTCTGTTTATTTGTTGCTTGGTCAAATCCATGCAGAGGTTTGGGTTTTACTCCTCCGTGTGGTCTATTCTTTTGGGAGTTTTTCGTAAGTGTTATGTATAATTAAACACTAGGAGCACACATTATGTTTTCAGTGGGTGTT